ATCTCTTCGGCCCAGTGTATTGCTGGGCCCCGTTACACCCCCGCTCTGTGTGTTCCTGTGCCATAAGCTGTTGTCACGCTGTGCCTGTCAGACGCTGTGGGATAGTCGTAGTGGGTTTGTTAGCACAGAGTTTGGGAATATCCAGGGTACAGCAGAGGTTTTGACATGTGTTTCTTTGAGACACCTGCTATACTACTGAGTTTTCCTGTGGATATGGGGATTGAGTTTGTAAATGGAGGGCATTGAATCTGAATACTCTTTGAGTTGCCCAGAGACGCTGTGGCTGCTCCACCCCGAAGGTGTTCAGGGCCACGTTGGATGAGGCTGTGAGTAACGTGGTCCACTGCGAAGTGGCCCTGCCCATGGTAGTGGGGTTGGAATGAGATGGTCTTTAAAGTCCCTTCCAACCCAAACTATTCTGGGATCACAGCTTTTTGCCATGATATTTTCATGGAGTTTATCTCCTGTTATGCCCATATGGAAGGCAGAACTGTGTAGATGAGTTTAGTGCTGGTGTAGCACAGGACAGGTGCTGTGTACATGGAGCGTGGAATGAGCCTTATAATGGCTTTATGTGCCCAGCACAGACAGGTATTTGTCATGAGGAATTGCTCAGGAGTTTGTCCTGTCTGTGGATGCAGCTAATTCCTTTGAGGAGACAGAGGAGCAGCAGTTCATACCTTCCCCAGCAGTTGCTGCAGCTCAGGAGTCTGTGTGTGGTACACAAAAAAGCAGTGTTTGCTTGTCGGTGTTACTGGACATTTGGAAGCAAAACATGTACTCATGCACTATGGTTTTAGTATAAACCTGTGCCAGAAGTTTATGTCAAGCAGAAAGATAAAAAGTTGAACCACGAATACTTCATGCCCCAAGTTCTCACTTTGCTGACTGAACAGATTTGCAGTAATGGGTAAAAGCTAAAGCAGTGAGGTTTTTCCTCTGCTACAGTTCTACTGGTATGGAATTAGTTTCTGCCGAAAGAGCTAGTGATTTGGTTTTACTTCTGTTGCTTTGGAGTGAATTATAACTTGGAAATGTTTCCCTGTCTCCAGGCTGTGGTGCAAGGCCATCTTTGCTGGCTACAAACGAGGCCTGCGGAACCAGCGGGAGCACACGGCCCTGCTGAAGATCGAAGGTGTTTATGCCCGTCAGGAGACAGACTTCTACTTGGGCAAGAGGTGTGCCTATGTGTACAAAGCTAAGAAGTAAGTCACTTCCTATTCTGCTGCTGAATTAGCCACCTCCTGTGTCAGCTTTTGCAAGTGCCAGATGTGAGCTGTCTCTTTATGGAGCTGTTGTGCTCAGTTCATCAATAGGGTGTCCATGGAGTACTGTGCAGAGCAGTTTCCTGGCTTGGTTTTGTGTTTGAACTCGTTGGTTATTTTTGCTTTAGTTGGCTGATGTGTTTTAATTCAGATAATGATATTATGTGAAATAATTGTTTGCTGTTACAAGTGATATGTTAGAGAGCAAATGGGGTGAGAAACAAGTTTTGCCTGAGACTGGCAAAAGCTGCAGGGGGATTGATAGAGTGAGTTGAGGTGAATTTGTGTTGAGTACTATGAGCTGTTGAGTTACTTAAAGAGTAGAATGATTCTGGGAAGCCTGGAGGAATTTGTGTCCTGGTTTTTGTGTGCCCATGGCAGAGCACTGTCAGTGCTGCTCTGCTGCATTAGTGAAGGCCTTGAGAACAGCTACTTAGTACCTTCCATTTATTATTTTCCTTCAGTGTAGTTGTTACAGTTCAGAATTCCCTTGAACAACACTGAACAGACTGTTCACTTGACCACCACGTTTTCATGGCTTTTCATCTACAGCAGTTTTTTGCCATCTATTCCAATGGCTTATTCCTCTCCTGCCCTTGCTGTGTCTGGAGAAACCTTAGAAATTTGGTCTTGCATTTTCCTTGGAGATGAAATTCATTAATTTTACTTGATCGTATCAGCATCAATGCTTTCCAAATTTTTGAGCTTTGTAACTTGTTAATAGTTCTCCAGTGGAACTTCTGATTAATTACAAGCTGTAATATTTACCTGTTTGGAAGGTACAGTGATCCCAGGCCTGGCAAATTCCATGGGGAAGTGAAAGTGGAAGTTGGTGTAGTTAAAGGTGGCTGTGGAATACTGAGGTGCCAAAGAGCCCACATTGTCACTGGTGGTGACAGCAGAGCTGTGACTGCTGTGCTCAGCCATTCTCTCCCTCTTTCCCCAGCAACACGGTAACTCCTGGGGGGAAGCCCAACCGGACACGAGTGATCTGGGGGAAGGTGACCCGTGCCCATGGGAACAGTGGAATGGTTCGGGCCAAGTTCCGCTCCAACCTTCCTGCCAAGGCCATTGGACACAGAATCCGAGTGGTAAGTGGGTTTATTTTAGCAATAGGATGTTTATTGGCGGTTTTGGGGGTGCCTTTTATTTCCATGTAGTATGAGGGAACACTTGGAACTATGTTCTGTTGCTGTTGTGTATTCAGTGTGGCTCTGTCATAGTGCTCCTTTTGGAGCCAGGTGAGGCTTGGTCTCTGAGGGGGTTCCTGTCATCTTCAGGGATTTGTGTGCTTGCTCAGGTTGTCTGGAAGGTCTCTTCAAGTGCCAGAACTCAGCTCCCTTCTAAAGCTACCTTGGTTTCTTTTCCCTGGATCTTTTCCATGTATCTTTGCACTCCAGTTTCTACCTGTTAGATTTTTCTCCCACCTCCCCAATGTTTTAACTGACACATCCACTACTACCTGCTCCACAGCTGGAATTTTAGTCACAAGGCTCCAGTGAGAGTTGCTTTAGGTCCCTTACCCAGAGTTGTGATGCCATATTTTTCTAGTGATATTGTCAGGAGTGTCAGAGGGATGAGGTCCTTCCTTTCTGTCTTTCTTCTGTGCCTTAGGAAAAGCACAGTAGGAGCACCACAGTTAAATCCTGAAACTAAACCCATGAGAGCTCTTGCTGTCAGTGTGCAGAAAGGCTGTTGGGAGCCTGTGCCCCCAGCCAAGTGCAAGTCACTGAACTCAGTGTTAGGCTTTTCCATTGTCACCTCTCTTCTGTGAAAATGGGGGTTTGCTTTTGTAGCAGTTGAAGAGATTGATGGTCTAGACTGTGACTGCAAAGCTTGTGTTTAAAAACGAGATTTCTAACATGATTCTCTCTGGTTTTGTGTTTTGCAGATGCTGTATCCATCTAGGATCTAAATTTTTATTGAAAATAAAATGGAGAGGCTGTTTAAATTTTGTACTTTTCTTATCTCTATACCAATTTTGAGGGACTTCCTCCTTTTTCGGTAGCATATCAAGAGTTGACAAGTCCTAGCTCACATCTGAAAATAGTAGTTCTAGTGGAATCACAAATAAGGAGCCCATCCATGCCTGGGCAGCACATGGGCCTGAAACATAGTGCCCAAGTGTTAGTACTGACTGCTGTCCTGGCCAGTCATCCCAGCAGGTAGTGTGGGGCAGTGAGGATCTTCACATCACTCGGGTCTCACTGTATGGTTCTTTAAGGTTTGTTGAGCAAGAGGTTGGGGAAAAATGAATTTAGAGTCTTCAGATGCAAGGCTCAGAGTTTTAGCACATCCCTCAAAACATGGGGTAGTTTTAAGGTAGGTTTGAGACAGCTGCAAATTGTCCTGGTTGCTGATGGTGTCATAACCCTAACCCTTGAACTCAGGAGCCTCGATGCTCACATGTGGATAACCCTGGGTGGGTGGTGCCATGCATGCCATGTACCTCTATCATTTGGAATGCATCTAGTCAGTCAGGAAGGTGAGTTGGCTCAATTGTCCCTCAGGTCCACTCCAGTGCAGTCCCTCTCCCTTCTCCCTGCCTGATCTGGCTGCCAGTAGGTGGCAGAGAGCCCTCTGAGCTGTTGGCTGTGCTTGTCTCCTGTGGTGACCTGGTACTTCACAGCTTCTCTTTGGAACAAGGTGGAGGAGTCGTGTGCAGAGCACATTGTTGGGTAAATCAAAATTTTCTTCTGAATGGGAATTCAAAACCTGGACCTGGCTGCTCAGCTCTGGAATACAAATTATTTCACTGGACCTGCTTCAAGATCTAATCCTGCTGCCACTGCTGTCCCAGAGGAGAGCCCTTGCCATGGAAAGCTGCGTTTTCTTAATATGTGGAGAGAAACTGCAGCTCATGGGATGCTGGGCCAGGTCAAGCAGGGCTTTAGTCTTCCACAACTACCAGCAGGTTGTACACGTAGGATTCAACGAAAGATGGGTGAAATTTCCATCTTTAGGCATTACAGAGGAGGGAGGAGGAAATGTAGTGAGCAAACTGGACTGTAATAGGAAGTTGGTAGGACTGTGATCTCCACCATGTAGTTGGATGTTGCTGATGAGAAGGTAATAAGCCTGGGCCTTTCTGTGGTTAACAGCTCCATGGTCTCACTGACCCTGTGTTCTTAACTGGAGGGATGTGCCAACCTTCTGGAGTGAGCCACAGGCCAAAGCTTTGAACAGGATGGTGCCAACTGTTCTATCATTTGTTTCCTACCCTAGAGGTTGACTCCCAGGAGCCATTATTTCACTCCCAGAGCTCAGATACTGCTGTGTTCTGCCTGAACGTAGGCAAGATGAGTTATTGAAGACAGATGGAGAATGAATTCTCTTGGTCAGGAGAACCTGCCATGCTGGTTTTAGCACTATGCACCTGGATGTCCCTTTGCAGGACACTTTCCTCCTGGTGCCTTACTTGCCTGCCCAGGCCTTCTGCATGGATAGGATTCAGTGTGTGACTGTGGCCAGGAGGGGACACTGTGCCCTCAGCTCTCCTTGCCACAAAGCTCAGACCTCTTTGCTGCATTGGCTGAACAATCCACCCCAGGAAACTTCTATCAAAAATCGCTGAGTTTCTGCTTTGCATAAAATGCCTTGCTTGATTATCAAAATGTCCCTGAGAAACCAGATGTCAGCAGAGAGGGAGTCAGAGCAGACCAGCAGCCTCTGGATTTCAAACTGTCCTGCAAGTGAGACAGTGAAAGAAACTCAGAGCTAGGGCCCAAGACTATGTTTTCCCAGGAGAGCCTGGATGCAGGGGTCTTTGATATGTGGTTCACATCAGCACAAAGCTCCTGAAACTCCCCAGGGTTCTTTGTAGCAGGGAACTGACCTCACATGCAAGTGAGTACCACCAGACATGCAGCAGGTTGAATTACTGGTATGGGTTATTTTGAATGGGAGAAACTAGGGGAGCAGTACATTATTTTTATTGCTAAGGCAAATTACCTATATAATAGCCGAGCTCATTTGCCATCCACCCAAGCTTGGTCCTTGGGTCTGATTTCATATTCATTGCCAGTTTTTCAACATCTTCCAGTGGAGGATCAAAGAGCACAGCAGGCTGACGGACAGATTCCATCTGTCTCTAAGGGGACAAGCAGAGACATTCCAACTATTGTGTGATGAGGAGTGACCCAACGCTTTGGGCTCTATGCACATGGCCCTGTGCCAGGTTCCCATTCTCCTCTTCAGCAATACCTTCCTATGCCCTTCTGCCATCTAGAAAGGGATGGTGGCTCAAGGAAACTTGGGACAGCTGCAGAGATGGGCGGGAAGAGGCACAGCTTTCAAAGGGAATGGGATTTTGGAAAAGAGAGACAGGGAAATGTTTGAGGTTCCCCATCAGGAAGTCAGGCTGCCACATGAGGCAGCCATGGACCTTCCAACTTTGTTTGCTTACAGTGTGTAATCTCTGCTGAGCAGAGCTCAGAGGGATGTGATGACTTGGATGAATCCAGGCCAGGGATGAGGAGGTACAGGCTGCCACATGACCAAAACTGGGGCTGCCTCACCTGTCCCTAGAGGTGGCTGGGTCTGGGGTGAGGGGAACTGGGTCAAAACAAAGTGTCCAGCCTGTTTGAATTCAGTCGTGACTGAACTCGTCACAGAAAGGGTTTGTGTCTGGTTTGATACAAAGTTCAAGCTCCAGTGAGTGAAAAGTGGGGAGGAGTTTGGGTTCGGGGGCTGGAAAAATTGAGGGGAGTTTAGTGGATGGTCCATGGAGGAGATGCGAAGAGACACAGAGGAGTGAATAGGAGACAGACTAGAAGGGAATCAGTGGGACTGGGATGTTCAGGGCAAAGGGGTAGATGAGGTTTGGAGTGTTTTCTTCTCTCACAATTGCCTCCTCCGCTACTTCTTTGGGGAACCTGAGAAGATCTCCATGAATGAAGAGTTCAGTGAGTGCTGGTGCCCTGCAGCAATGCTCCAGGCAGCAGCTGGAAGCACTGCACAAGTAAAGCAGATGCTTTCCAGCATCTTGTAAGGATGTGTTTTTCTGAAGCAGTAAATGGAAGCAGGTTTGCAGAACAGGTCTGTGACAAAGCACTTGTGCAAAGGTTTGCTAAGTTCCTACTCCTAGCTGACTCAGAGGCTTTTCCAAGTGCCCATGTGAGCATCGAGGCTCCTGAGTTCAAGGAGCTGGGCTGGATCATTGGACATGGGGCTCAAAGCTACTCCCACAGATTCCCTTTGGCTCCTTTGGCCTCTCTGCACTTCTGTCATCAACATTTGCACAAGAATCGTTTTTCCCATCCTCTTTCTGCTCTCCTCAGAAGAGAGGTTAATCTTGGTAAATGCGTCTTTTGAGGGCTCTGACCCAGTGGATCTTTGATTTTGTTTAGACTTCAAGGCACTACTAATACACATGCCAAATTTAGCCCTCTGAACAAAGCATCTTCTCTCCTCTTTTGAAGTCCAAAATGAGCAGATGTTGTGTCTTCTCTGTAGAGCTATTGGCATACGTAAGAGATGTGATTACCCTCATTTAGCGCTGACTGGAGAGACTCTCTAATAACTGCAGCTGTCAGATAGACATTTGAAGGAGTGTCAGGCCTTGTAAATACATCTGTGCTTTTTTGCTCAGATTCCTGACAGGGCTCTGAAGACACTTTGTGGGGGACTACAAACCCCACTGAGCTCGTGACCACCTCTGACTGTTTGAGTTGTACCTCTTTAAGTAACACAAAGGGAGATAAAGTTGCATGTGCTATTAGATCTTACCTCTGTTAATGAGTAAAGAAATGTAAACAAGGTTGTTTGGGTATTGTGAGTGACATTCACCTTTCCAACCAGCCTCTGCGAGCAGTGGTATATGTGTACCCAAAATCAACTGAAGCATTGCAGTGGCCATGGAGAACAGCTCTGTGTAGTCCCAAATAGTTTTTAATGGCTCTGTTGGCAACTTAGACATGAAGGTTACTGCAGAGAAGTAACCAGTGGTGTGCCTTCTGAGCTGAGTTAGGAAGGTAACTTCAATTTTTTTTCTATACCTTCTCTGCAAGAATTATCTTCATATATGTGGGAAATCGTCTGCTTGAAAGTCAACTTTCCGGTGCCTGAGGCATCTTGGCATCTCTAGGCAAGTCACTGGCACAACACTGCTTGAAAAGAGCTCTGCAAGACCCATCCATGCTGTAATGGTCTCTGCACATCAGCCAGGGCATAACTGGCACCACCACACCACAGGCTGTGCTGGCAGCTCGTGAGGAGTTTAAACACTGTGGGGCTTCTTGTGGCAGTTCACAGGAAGATGAGAGTTTCTGGGGACCAGCACATGCTCCTGTCTCCTCCTGCTGCTGCTGGCACAGTTCATGGTACTGATCACATCCTGGCTTTTCTCCATAGGAACACAGGAAGGATTGTGAACAGATGAGAAAAAAATCCTTGTAGATACAAAATCTGGGCAACACTAAGACCAGATCTGGCTGTTGAATTGTATCTGACTCTGTAGCCTTACTGTGCTGACAGCTGTTCTCAGGGCTACCACGCTGGTGTGGAAACATGGGCTCTTGCAATAGACCCTGATCTTTGGAAGAGGAGCCTAATCCTTCTGTTTTACCTCCCCCCTTCCCTCCCATTTGCTTATCAGCACTTGTCAATAAGTAAGTTACTCTTGCTAGGACCCAGGCAGAAAATCTCTCTGAAGCCCTTGCTCATGCTGTCCAGCCCCCACGATGCTGGCCTGGGTCAGTGTTTGCTAAGATTGTCATAGCTGGGGCAAATACCTTCCTGGATCAAAATTGGCAGCACAGAGTGACCTTCCTGAGCTGCCACTCCTCTGTTATGCCTGGGGACCAGCCTGTGGCACATCCGTTCCATTGTGGCTGCTGATCTGCTGGGCTGTGGGGGCTGCATGTGTGGGCAGGGAGCAGGCATGGTGGCTCAGCCACTTTGTGACACACGTGTGCCCAAATGCACAGGTTGGGAATCACTGATCCCAT